GTCACATTAGCCTGAGCTTTGGGACCAGAATCCAAAAGGGTTAACTACGCACCCCCCCCCACATCATTTTTAGTGTCTTTTAAAGTTACATCATGGACTGGAGAAATGGCTCAGTGGTTAAGAGCACTGGCTGCTCTTCCAGAGGACCTGGGGTTCAATTCCCAGCATCTACATGGTGGCTCACAATCTTCTTTAATCCAGTTCCATGGGAATCTAGCCTCCATGGATACCAGGCACATTCTTGTACACAAACATATATGTGGGCAAAACACCCTTACATATAAATAATTTTTAAAAACTGTTGCCAAGTGGTGGTGGTACAGGCCTTTAATCCCAGTACTCGGGAGGCAGAGGCAGGTGGATCTCAGTGAGTTTGAGGCCAGCTTGGGCTACAGAGTGCGATCCAGGATATCCAGGGTTACACAGTGAAACCCTGTCTTGAAAAAAAAACAAAAAAGAAAACTGTTTAAAAAATAAGAGCCACGCCGGGCGGTGGTGGTGCACGCCTTTAATCCCAGCACTCGGGAGGCAGAGCCAGGCGGATCTCTGTGAGTTCGAGGCCAGCCTGGACTACCAAGTGAGTTCCAGGAAAGGCGCAAAGCTACACAGAGAAACCCTGTCTCGAAAAACCAAAAAAAAAAAAAAAAAAAAAAATAAGAGCCACATCTCTAGTCTGCAGGGATAAAATGTCAAAAATAAATGGAGTTTACTTATGTGTGACATCGTTTTTAATATCAAGTTCCTTTTTCTTGTCTTTCTTCAATATTGAATATATAAAATAAAGTTTACAAAATATGTTAAGGTATAAAGAATGAAACAATAAATGTTTAAACATCCACCATCTAATCCAGAAGACAGACGTTATCATTATGTTGAAAACTCCTGTGTGGCCCTCCCTTGTCTGATTCCCTTCCTCCCTCATTCAAAGAGGCCAGTAACATCCTGAATTTTATGTCTGCCATGTTCTTATTTTCATAAAAATTCACTTTACAATATTTAATTTTAAAGAACATTTAGGTAGTATATCTGGGAACTAAAAATAAATGGAATCTATTATTGGCATTCATACCTTGCTTTTCCCACTCATTATAACATTTCTGAAAAATTCACTTTACAATATTTAATTTTAAAGAACATTTAGGTAGTATATCTGGGAACTAAAAATAAATGGAATCTATTATTGGCATTCATACCTTGCTTTTCCCACTCATTATAACATTTCTGAGATCCACCCATGTGGTTGTGGGCAATTGTGACCAATGTTTTACATTACTGTATAGTTTGGATGAATTTTCTTAAATAATTTAAGCTCCCATGATTCTCTGGATCAGTCCATAACCACTGTAATCCATACACTAATTTTCACCAAGTGGGAACCTATCTTTCTGGGCATTTTATTTTTATTTATTTGGGGAGAGGAGTTTCAATATGTAGCCTATGCTACCTCAGGCTGGCCTAGAATTTATGTGATCCTTCTGTCTCAGTCATCCAAATACTATGATTATAGATGTATGCCACCAAAACATCTACCTTTTCAGTACTGGGGGCATTTCTGGGTGAGGTAGAAACCCATTGCAATAGAAACTCCATGGAATCTATAAGGGTGACCCTAGCTAAGACGCTTAGCAATGGGGGATAGGAAGCCTGAACTGGCCATCTCCTCTAACCAAGCAAGGCTTCCAGCAGTGGGACTGGGTCACCAACCAAGCCATAAAACCTTTGACCTACAATTTGTCCTGCCTGCAAGATGTGCTGGGGTAATGGTGGCACAGAACTTGTGGGAGTGGCCAACCAATGACTGGTACAACTTGAGACCCATACCATGAGAGGGAGCCCATGCCTGACACTGCCTGGATGGCCAGAACTAGAGGCTGGATGGCCCAAGACCTAGAATAGAACCAAACACAACTGGCAAAAAAAAGATCAATGAAATGATTCCTAATGATATTCTGCTATACTCATAGACCAGAGCCTAGCCTAATTGTCATCAGTGAGACTTCATCCAGCAACTGCTGGGAGCAGATGCAGGAACCTACAGCCAAACATTAGGTTCATGGAACTTGGGGAATCCCACAGAAGAGGCAGAGGAAGGACTATAAGATCCAGAGGGGTCAAGGACACCAGGAGAACATGACCCACAGAATCAACTAAGTAGGGCTCATAGAGACTGAACCAACAATCAGGGAACCTGTATATGTCTGACTTAGGTCCTCTGCTTTTATGGTATGGTTATGCTTATGAGACTCCTAACAGTGGGACCAGGGGGTTGTCTCCGAATCTTTTGCCTGCTTTTGGGACCCTTTTCCTCCTACTGGGTTGCCCCATCCAGCCTTAATACAGGGATGTGTCTAGTCTCATTGTAACTTATTATGCCATGCATATTTGGTTGACATCCTTGGGAGACCTGCTCTTTTCTGAAGGGAAAAGGAGTAGTAGATCTGGGGGAGAGGGAAGGTGTGTGTATGGGAACTGCGGGGAGGGAAGGGAGGGGAAACTGTAGTTAGGATATAATATATAAGAGAATGTGGTGATATATTGTGTACCCTAATAAATTTGCCTAAAGATCAGAGAACAGGAAAAGTCACTATACTAAACATAGAAGCAGGCAGTGGTGGCACACACCTTTAATCCTAGCACTTGGGAGGCAGAGATCAGTCTGGATCTCTGTAAATTCAAAGCCACCCTGGATTACATGAGATTGACTCAGTCTAGGAGAGAAACAGAGCCAGGCAGTGGTGACACACACCTTTAATCCCAGTACTTGGGAGTCACATGCCTTTAATCGCAGCACTAGGAAAGTTGAGACAGGAAATGATATGGGTGGGTGGAGAAAGGTATATAAGGCGTGAGGAGACAGGAACTAGAGTCTTTCCACTGAAGAAAGCTTTTCAGACTGAGGAGTCTTAGAAGTAAGAGGTAGCTTGTTCCTTTGTCTCTCTGATCTTTTACCCCAATATCAGTCTCCAGGTTTTTTTTTTTATAAAAAGACCTTTTAGCATTGTGTTACATCTGGCACCCAACATGGGGCTCGAACCCATGACCCTGAGATTAAGAGTCTCATGCCTCTTCAGGCAAATTTATTAGGGTACACAATATATCACCACAAGAGAATAAATCAATTTATTAAAAAAAGGTAAAACCATGAAGCACTTGTTTCTCTTTAGTCCTCTCAACTCTTTTACAAAAGTTAAGCATTCTTTTTTATCTTTTTTTCTGTTTTATTTTCTTTGCTTATTTTTAGGTTAATCATTCTTTTTTTCCAAGGCAAGGTTTCTCTGTGTAGCTTTGGAGCCTGTCCTGGAACTCATTCTGTAGATCAGGCTGGCCTCGAACTCACAGAGATCTGCCTGCCTCTGCCTCCCTAATTTTGGGATTAAAGGCATGTGCCACCACCGCCTGGCAGGTTAATCATTCTTAATAGGAAGTTTTGAAATCTGAAATGCTCCATATTCCAAAGCTTTTTGAGCATCATAACACTACTCAAAAAGTTTCAGATTTCAAAAGGTCAAATCAGGGATACTTAACCAATGAAGTCTATGCAAGGTTCCCCAAGCCTAAGTAACTGAAATGTGAAGCATCCCTAGTTCCAAGCAGTCCTAATGGACTAGGACAGACCCATACTGAGCACCTATTGTACAACAAGCAATAATGACCATTTACATCCTCAAAGCAGTTTTGCAGAACACTAACTGAGTATAAAATGCTGATACAATGCAAATGAGCTTCAGATTAACAAGGCTCTAACTGTGGCCTGCCTTCTCACTTCATACAGGTCCCTCTTCAAATGTTACATTGAGGGACATATGCTCAAAGCACATTATATACTTGCACAAAGATGATCTTATATAACCCTGCATAGAAAAACATCTGGGTAAACTGAGCATGGTGGCAGACACCTGTAATCCCAGCCACTGAAGAGTATGAGGCAGGAGGATTATGACTCAAGGTCCTCCTGGGCTTGAAGACACCTGGTCTCAACCACTACCACCACCAACAAAAATCTCCAAAAGACAACAAATAGTTCCTATTTTTCCAAATTAAAACCACATTGTTCCTTCTCTCTTAATACTACTTTTATCTTCCTACTATACTTCTGGATTAAGTTGTTACTGAATCACTCTTTTTATTTATTACTACTGTATATGTGCATGATGAGGGAATGTGTACAACGGTGCATGTGTAGTGGACAACTCTATTGTGTTGTTTTTTTTCCTTCCACTTTTAGGTGAGTTCCAAGGATCAAATTCAGGTAGCCAGGCTTTTGTAGCAAGCACCTTTAGCAACTAAACCATTTCATTGACCTTTGCTGAATCACATTTGTTAATTACTATTGGTAAAATCTTTTAGTAACTTAGGACAGTGATCATAAATTTGTTTATTTATATTGTCCTTGTTGAATTTATCCATTCCTAATAAAAAATATGTGTTTTGTTTTAAAATGTTGGGCTGTGTGTAGTAACATATACCTATTATCCCAACATTGTAGAAGCAGAGGTAGAAAGATCAGTTCAAAGACATCCTTGGTTACATGAGACTTTGTCTCCAAAACAAAATTGCTAACCATCAGTAATCTGTTCAAGAGACAGACAGTGAGACAGTAAGATGAAGAGAAAGGGAGATGGTAAGCAGGTGCCTATGCACAATGCAGTCACTTCAATCCAGAGATAAACACGGTACAATCAAAAGAGAAAGGATAATGCCAGGGGAGATAAAGAAGGGGAAAAATGGAATTGAAGGCCCTAAAGAGAAACGTATCACCTTGGCAAATATGACTCTCATATATGTTACCAAGCAGCTAACTTATAAATGGTCTATCATTTATCCAGAAGATACATAAGTGTGTAGACACATACCTGAAAGGCAGGCATTTGTCCTGCTCACCCCTTCTTGTTGGTCATGCTATTGGCAGAACAGAAGCCACAATGTTGGATGGTACCAAATCAAACTAAACTAAACTGCCTGTCAACCATCAGAGTTCTGGCAAGGGCAGATGTGCTTACTTGGATTTCACAGGAGAAGATGACTTCTTAGGAATGTCTTCAGGAGGCTCACATCTTCTCAGAGGGGATCCAAGACCCCCAGTGGAAACCGAAGTTGTCACTCGTCCCTTCCTGACTTTTTCCATCTGTAGGTGACAAAGAGTATGATAGCCACAGCCCATGACTGGTACTACTTCTACAAGTTGAAAAACTATCTCAGATGGAAGTGATACATTTTTCTTTCAGAGGGATCAATATAAAGGTCTAATGCTTCATGTGCCATGAATCTTTGTAGAGATTTGTGATACCATGAGATCATTGCATTTAGGTCATCAAGTTGGAATTTTTTTTTGTCTCAACATGGAGATCCTCTGCCATACACTTTGTTAACTTATCAAGAGGTAACAGCATAACCATATTATGGCCCTAAACATATAGGAACTGGAAAGGGTACAAAAACATACACTTTTAGCTCAGAGGCCTCTGGGTCCTGAGTCTGAAGTGCATAGTGTTTTCAGCAATAGGGACTTACCTTCCACTTCCGGGAGGGTGGGGGGGTGGGGTTGGGCAACCAAGGCCAACAACAATAGTCTATAAAGTTTTGGGAGTCTCTTGGATAACCCTGATTAACAATTCCAAAGAGAGCTTCTCATACTTGGTTATATATTTAGGAATTAATATGAATATATACATATATATTCATACATATACACATAAATATACATACACACATATACATATACAACTAATGAAAAAAGAGGCTATGAATTTGAAAGAGAGCAAAGAGAAGTACATGGGAGGGCTTGGAAGGAGGAAAGGGAAGGTAGAAATAATGTAATTATAATCTCAAAATAAAATAATTTAAAACATAAATTCAAATAAACATAATATATACACTTATTACAAAACCTTTACCAGAAGAAGGTAATTTTAATATCCAAGATGCTGAGTTGTAAACTGTGAGGCATACATGGTATAATACAGAGTACAAAACACATATTTCTATTTTTCCCCTTAATTCTCTTAGTAGAAGGAAATGGATGAGCATTACTGACTGGCGTGAAGAAAGAGCTCCACCCTCTTTCCTTACTACACTTTTCTGTAACAAGTCCTCATTTGGTCCCCACAATAGCAACCTTCCTCCACAAATAATCCATTTTACAGCAAAATCCAAGAGTCATAAATACTCCCATTTTTAAATATTTCAGGGCAACCATGAATTTGAAAAAAATATGTTATTACAAGGTGTTCAACAGAGCTGAAGATATAAGATAAGTGGTGGACTATTTATGTAACATGTAAGTTCCTGGACTTCCAAGACTACAAATGATAAATAATGAATGAAACTAAAAATGCTAAATAGTAATATAGTAGTTTTAACATAAATTGTTATGTATCAACAACTGATAATGCAATTGATACTCCTCCTTCCTTCAATGGGTGGAGCTCAATTCTCTTCCTATTGAATCTCAGTGACTTGCTTTTAATGACCTGCATAAGGCTTAACTCAGAAATTGGAGATTAAAGGCATTGCAGCTTCCATTTTATAACATTGGATTGTTTGCTCTGGGAGAAGTCAGCCATTTGGGACTCATAAGCAGGTTTGTGGAGAGGCTTATGTAGTATGGAACGGAGGTTGTCTGTCCTCCAGCATCCCTGTAATGGATGTCTTACAAGAGGTCCAGTCATGCTTTCAGATGACATAGCCCTGGTCAGCATTCTGACTAATTCCTCCTGAAAGACCCTGTACCAAAACTACCAAGCTCTCAATTGAGCTACCCTCAGTTTCAGACCCAAGGAAGCTATGAGTGAAGACGTATTTGTTTTTATTTAATCTGCCAAGGTTTAGGGTACTTTGCTATGTAGCAAACGATAACACAAATAAGTATGACATATACAATTCTAAATAAATATACAGAATTGAGGGTACCTGCTTAACAGTCATTTTACTGACAGTGTCCATATGACATTTTAAAAAAATTCAAAGGCACCGGGCGGTGGTGGCGCACGCCTTTAATCCCAGCACTCGGGAGGCAGAGCCAGGCGGATCTCTGTGAGTTCGAGGCCAGCCTGGTCTCCAAAGCGAGTTCCAGGACAGGCACCAAAGCTACAGAGAGAAACCCTGTCTCAAAAAACCAAAAAAAAAAAAAATTCAAAGGCTATTGTGAGTGAAGGTTGACCGAGAACCTCAGTTTTAGTTGCATACAGAGGCAAGACTCTTAGAATCGGAGCCTTGAGGAATCAGAAGACCCCTGCAATAATCCTTCTGACTTGTATACTCTGAAAGAAAGGCTGTATTATCACAACAGTATCATTAGGAATCTGCTACAAAGCATTAAGATTCAGGGAGATGCAAAATAATAATTTTCCAAAGTTTGATAAAAAGTTAAACCAGGCCGGGCGGTGGTGGCGCACGCCTTTAATCCCAGCACTCGGGAGGCAGAGCCAGGCGGATCTCTGTGAGTTCGAGGCCAGCCTGGACTACCAAGTGAGTTCCAGGAAAGGCGCAAAGCTACACAGAGAAACCCTGTCTCGAAAAACCAAAAAAAAAAAAAAAGTTAAACCAGGTAGGCAGTGGTGGTGCACACCTTTAATCCCAGCACTCGGGAGGCAGAGGCAGGCAGATCTCTGAGTTCGAGGCCAGCCTGGTCTACAGAGTGAGATCTAGAAAAGGTGCAAAGCTACACAGAGAAACCCTGTCTCAAAAAACAAAAAAAAAAAGTTAAACCAAATGTATCCTTTGAACAGTCCCTGGAGACTGACAGAAACAAAGACCCCAGGTCAAGGGTGGAAACAATTACACTGTCAAATTATAGTACAGAAAAAAGTGAGAGAGGGCATTTAAACCTACCTGAGAAGGCTCTGCTCCTGCCACTGCTCCCTTCCCAGCATCTCCCATGCCAGATGTAGGTATACCCTTCTTCCTCTCAGTGGTCCGGGTCGGAGAGGACTTGTATGAAGATTTGAGAGGGCTGCCGAGAGCTACATGAAGACAGGCATGGAATACTAGAGAGTTACAACATAACAGCCAGAAAATACAGGAAACACAGATGGAAAAGGCAGAAGAATCAGAGGTTGAAAAGAACATATTTCTATATAAAAATGTTAAATGTGTAATCCATATTTTTGAAATATCCTTTTCCTATGTTATACAGAATAGATCTCATCTTAAATAAAACTCCTAAGATTCAAGAGTCAAGTTCATTCAAGGGGTTAAAAGTGCACTTTGGAGCTTGGCAGACTTTTCACTGCCATCTAATAGCTGGAATACCTTGGGCAGGCTACTTAATGTTTCTACGCCTCAGTTTCTTTACACAGGAAGAACAGAGAAGTCCTGACTACTGTCTTTGCAGGTCTACTTACAAGACTGCACTTTGGCCAGTATTTAGGAGCTTAGAGTTTAGGAAGGTTTGTGTCATTCACTGGTGAGTACTAAAAAATTGTTTGTGCAAATAATACATTCTAAGTGTGTGAAGTTTGGGTATTTGCTTAGTAAAGGGTGTCTACATGACTAGTTCCTACTAAAAACTCAAGGCATTGAATCTTTAGAGTGCTTCCTCAGTTGGCAACACTTTATGTGTATTGTTATACGAAGCATATCCTGCGTGACTGTCTTAGGAGAGCCTTGGAAACTTACACCTGTTTTCCTCTATACTTCTCATACACTCTTCCCTTTGCTAACTTAGTTGTGTATCTTGCTACTATAATAAATCATAGTCATGAGCTATGAGTCCTTTGAGTTCTACTAATGAATCACAAAACATTGGTGTTCTTGAGGGCCTCTGCCATCAGAGGTGGGAATTGCTGCAATGACTCCAATTCACAAAAATAAAAATAAAGTAAATATAATGTTTGGGAAAGGTGGAGAAAAGGAGTAAACTTGTGGTATCTGTGTAGCTGTGGAGTTGTTGACCACGGTATAACAGCCAAGATGTAAGAGGTGAACGTTGCCTACAAAATTTGAAGATAACTACTGAAACTCCAAGAGTGTTGCCTCAGTGGGGATTCCTTGGCTACTTTTGGCCATACTACCTAAACTGAGGTAAGAATAACAGTTGGGGAATGGTTTCAGTTTTCTCCTTCAATAGAAATGGGGAAAAAACCGAAACTTTTCTTGGTTTTGTTATCAGTAGGTGGGTTGGAACTGAGTATTGAAAGCAGAACAAGTTTCAAACTGATTTTTTTTTAATATGATTTTTTTTTGTCTAAAAGTAGAGACTGAAAAGCCCCGAAAAGAATCAACTTCCAGAAGAGATATACTTTAGAGTTTTAAAATTCAACTAGAGACTACTGCAAATACACCCCTCTTTTGGTCTCTAAACTGTGAAATATCCTGAATACTGTTGGACCACCTTGGTTACATATAAATGTCCATGGGACAGGTCTCTGATGGCACAAGCCAAAAAGTCCAAGCCATTCTTCAAAGCTATAATTCTGATGCAGAGCCTGGGTACATTCTTGTAAAAGCTACAGTCTGGGAAAGGTTGTCAAGATGCATCATTACTGTTTTCTGTTTGATTTTTTTTTTATTTTTTTTATTTTATTATTTTATTTTTTTTTTTTTTGGGTTTTCGAGACAGGGTTTCTCTGTGTAGCTTTGCGCCTTTCCTGGAACTCACTTGGTAGCCCAGGCTGGCCTCGAACTCACAGAGATCCGCCTGGCTCTGCCTCCCCAGTGCTGGGATTAAAGGTGTGCACCACCACCGCCTGGCTCTGTTTGATTTTTTAAAGTAGCTATGGTTTTTAATAATGGACTTTGGACCTGACTCTACTTACTCTACCTTTTCTTAATATACACACCTAAGATAAACTATTTCTTCTATGTAACTGTCCCAAGAAAGAGAATGATTTTTTTTACACTGGTCACTGGACAAATGATTAAGCTAAAAAATAGGAAGTCACATAAACCTATTTTAAGTCCTTTGAAAATTTAGTATTTTACTTTGAATAATACCTAAACATGGTGTGTCTTTTTGAATTAAAAATGTCTCTATTTTCTTCTCCTCTTCCTTTCCCATCTATAAAAATGTTCTAGCCTTTTTAAAAGAGGCTTGTGCAAGTGCAGTGAATAGTCAAGAAATCAAGTTTTGACTGCTGAATAGAGTACAAACAAAACCCAGCTTGTAGTGACATGGAGGGTACTGTCAAAGATACCTGTGATCTTTGTTTTCCAGAATTGCTCCTGGAAGTTCTCTCTTCCAGAAGAAACTTCCCATAACACCTGTGTAAGCCACTATGAGCATGGATTTCTGGGTCTAGACTGCACATAACAGCATGACTGAGGAAGTCGTGGTGGGCCAATTTCGGTATAGTTTTAATACAGCACATTAATATACTATCTACACTCATCAGGCAGATGAGAGTACCACCAGCAGAAGGGGGCTTTGGGACTGATAGCCTCAGGAAGTCCCTCTGGCATCACAGACTGAAATGAATTAATCCCACTGTATTAAGCACTCTGGGGCATGGTGAGAGGCACTACAGAGGGAGGTCACATTGGGGGTGTCTCTTGATAATGAATCTCCTGCTGCAAGTGCCCTGAAGCTCTTAAGCTTCTTGTTTTCTATAGGAGCCCATGAGCCCTCAAGAATGGCACTTCTTGTATGTGCCCTTAATGTCATAACATTGCCTCAGACCTAGAAGGTGGTCAGGTAAACTTCAACTTCCTGGCCAGAGCTGTGCTGGGGCCAGGTGAAAAAGATTCAGAAGGAACAGGAAGCAATCTGGCTAAGACATACCTTTTAAGGTTAATGGGATTTTATTCTACTTCTAAGCCCAGGTTACCTAAAGGTTATAAGTAAGATCAATGCCACAGGTCTGCCTCATCCTTCTGTGTGGGTCCCACTGGTTAAAGACACCATGGCAATGGGTCAAGGTTATAGACTCTTCAGAAGACAGCACTCAGATTCAACTACTGTTCTTGGAAAGGCCAGCTCCTAAGGTTGGTCTCTGAACAATACCTGGGAATTTAAGACTTTGTCAAGGTTCCCACCAATAGCTGGTGAGCAGATGATTTATTGTGTCTTAACTGTATGTAAAAAACAATCTGAATATCTGCTTTCACTTCAAGAGTATAAAATTTTGATACATACTGCGCAAGGAGTTGACATGGTCAGAACCCTGTAAAAACTCAGCTTCAACAAGCTTCCCTGGTTGGCAATTCATTCTTGTCTTAACTCCAGGAAGCACATCCTGAGTGACTATACTGGAGAGGCTCTGCAAGCTTGTGCCTTGTCTTTCCTAGACTTTGTCCCTAGTTGTTTTCCCCTTTGTGGATTGTTTTTGCATATCCTTGTATCATAATAAATAAAAGAAGTGAGTATACCTGTATGCTGAATCTTCTGAGCAAATCATCAAACCCAGGCTTAGTCTTAGGGATCCCTGAAATGTTTCTCCTTCTCAAAATGAGGGTACTTCCAACTAAGAATTTAGGGGTTGTTGAGGTAGAATCAACATACCATATAATTCCCCCTTTAAATGTCCAGTTCAGTGATACTTTATTATACTCACAATCATAACCACAATTATAACCACAACTCCTAGTCCTTTTAAGGCTCCCAAATGAAACCTTTTACCCATTAAGTAGTCACTAACCTTCATCCCTCCCCTACTCCTTGTGAAACATTGATCTACTTTCTGTTTCTATGGATTTATCTATTTCAGACATTTTATATAAGCAGAATCATATAATTTATGGTATTTTGTGGCTGCTTTCTTTTACTCAGAATAGTTTCAAACTTCATCTATTGGGTATAATCTATCAGCACTCCTTTCCCATTTAAAGCTGAATAATAGTCTACATAATACTTCATTTCGTTTGTCTTTTCAAGTTGTTTCTACTTGTGGCTACTGTAAATAATGCTGCTAGTGTTTTTAATTTTTCTGGCTCTATATCCAAAAGCAGAATTGCCAAATCATATCCAAACCACTTAAGAGGTTTTATAGCCAGACATAGTGACATATACTGGCAATCTCAACACATGGGAGATGGAGGCAGAAGGATCAGGAGTTCAAGGCCAGCTTCAGCTACATCATGAGTTTGAGACCAGCTTGGACTGCATGAGGTTTTTTCCTCCACCCCCCCAAAACAAACAATAAGAATAGACCCTATGTAATTTGATGCAATTTTCACCAAATACACTGTATCTTTGGAATGGAGACCAGACTCTACCTTATGTGGACATTGTGCTGCTCATTGGCAAATGAAGAAAATGCTTGCCTTAAATCTTGACATCATGATTTAATTGTATTTGATAAAGGAAGGCCAGTGTTTGTCAAGACTTTAACGTGCAGGTTAGGGAGGATCTCAGAGCTGGCTTTTCTACAAAGTTCCCATTGCTGATCCATGGATATTTTAAGCAGCAAAGCTCTAGACATTTTTTGAGTTATTAATCTGCGCCAACCAATGTGTTATCTTATTTATACTATGATCTCATTTAATCCTCATAATAATTTAATATTAAATTTTTGAAACATGGTCTTGCTATGTTGCCCAGACTGGCCTTAAACTTATGATCTTCCTAATTTGGCCTCTGAATAGCTGGCATTACATGCATTCATCACCATACAAAGCTTTCATTACAATAAATAAAAAACAAAAACTCCCATTTTATATATGAGCAATAAAAAATGGTAGATCCAGCTGTGGCACTCCAGGGAGTAAGGTCTATATGCTACTTTTCCAAACAATCTCCTAAGAAAAGTCTACTAACTTCCATAGCCCATCAAGTTGATTTTCTACCTGATTCACATGCCACCAGTCATAAAATAATTTACTCACCTATATATTATTCAACTTTAAAACGAACAGCAACAGCAAAATACTGCCAGGCAGAAAATTCTATTAACCATTGAAAGCATTTCATAAAGCCAGCAAATGAGAAGCAAAATGCAAAAATTCAGGAATGAATCCAAGGCTGATCAAAACAGTTTCAGGCATTTTCTTTGACTTCACAACTTGCCCTCTTTTCCCTGAGTCACTTGCTTGCTCAGAGAGCATGTATGTACTTCTGTTTCTGGCTAAAGAGGCCTGTGTGGGTATCAGCAGTCTCTAAACAAGGAAGGTTTCCATGGAACTAAGGTGCATGCAATGAGCTGAGGGATGGAATTAAACTAAACTTTTAAAAAGCAGAATTAAAGTAAAAGAAAATAATGTTTAAACAAGATAGTACAGGGTAGCATTTAACATTTTGGTGGCAGAACAAATGTGGAAATAAAAATAATTCTAACAAAGGATGGCTTTGGAGTTTGTCCTAGTAAAATCAAGCAAGTAAGATATCACTTAAGAGTTTAGGAAAGTTCATTCATTCTCTTGTGGAACCAGAATTAATTTAACACACTATTATAGTGACCTTAGCTATATGTAATGGTAAACACCTATAATCCCAGCATTTGGGGACTGAAGCAGGAGAATCCTGAGTTTGATGCTAGCCTGAGATACACAGTAAGAGCCTGTCTCAAAAACAAAACAAAGCAAAACAAAAGGAAAACAAGCACAGTGGCCTGTGTTAGTTGAAGAAAATTAATGACCCCCTTTCAAAAGTTATATAGACCTCATTACTCACTAAGTACGTTTAACATTAGAAAAGGAAGGATTGTACCAACAAAAACAAAAACCACCTCATTTTCGGCTCCCTTGGAGGCCTGCTCTTTTCTGAAGAGGAAACAGAGGAGAAGGGGCTCTCAGGGAGAGGGGAGGTCAGAGGGAGCTGAAAGGAGTGGAAGGAGGGGAAACTGTGGTTAGGATGTAATATGTGAGAGAAGAATCTATTTTCAATAAAAAATTTAAAAAATTAAATATTAAAAATCTATAAAAAGAAATATTTTAAAACACTCATTTTTTAAACGAAAAGTGCCATCCTGTAACATTACAAAAATAAATGCTTCCCTATCTTTTTAAACTATTTTAAGGGCAAAATTACACAAACAGCACCAAAGTAATAGCCAACCAATTATCAGCTTTAATGAAAGGTAGTAGGTGGATTCATGATCCCAAATTCCCAAATTCAGTGACCACTGGATGTGATGGTTTACACCTAGCATTTGGGAGTGGAGGTAGTAATCTCAGAAACTCAAGGCCAGTCTGAACTGAATGAAATTCTGCCTAAAAAATCTACATGAAAATGACAACGGAAAACTCAAAAAATGAATAGGAAAAATAAAATAAAATACAATAACTAAAATGTTTTGGTTTGGGGCTATAATATATGACAATGGATATTGTTTGGATACCTATTTATTAAATGGTATGGAGATTAAAATTTTTCAATTTAGAATACACAAGCAGATAATTTAGTTGTCAATCATGATAAAGCATGTTTATCGATGCATGTTCATCAATGCAAAGAAATGAATTTGAGAAAATACAGAATATGTCTGCTAAAGGAATAGCCATAGAGTTAAAAGTGCTAAGTGTTTTCTCTTTAAAGTCTTCCTTCCTTCCATGTTTCCATTGGTTACCATGAATGGGCATCAGAAATCAGCAGCATTGTGACACTTACGGGGACTCTGCTACACATAGCATGCCTCTGGATGGAGGGATAAAGTCAATGCCAGTGAATGACAACCAGAAGGCCCACCACCCTCTTCCAAGTCACAAACCTACTGATCATCCCTTGGTGATGACCTGACAACCTCAATTGTCTTCTAGTACCTGACTTTCCTTTGTTGGTGCTTTAGGATATGCATGGTACACAAGGAAGACCCCCTCTTTTTCAACCTATGTACAATAAAAGGCAAAAATTCAGGCCTCCCATGACTCTTCTGAGCCTCCATTAGAACACAGATGCTGTTACATCTACTCAGGTTCTGAAAATGGTATGTGTCCCTCTATATATACACTGTCTCCCAAATCAAAGCACTGCCTGGAAAGGTCCTTCATGCTTTTCCTTTTTAAAAAAAGAGTCCTCCACATAGATTTCCCTGGGAAGAGGAAAGAGATGAGATCTCCTGGGTAAACTGGGGGGTGGGGGCTGGCAGGGAGGGGATGGGGGGATGGGAACATGAGGGATAGGGTTGGTCGAGTTGGAGATGGACTGAGGGGGAGAGGAATGTAGGCGATATCTTGATAGAGAGAGCTATTATGGGGTTAGGTAGAAACCTGGTGCTAGGGAAATTCCCAGGAATCCACAAGGATGACCCCAGCTTAGACTACTAGCAATAGTGGTGAGGGTGCCTGAACTGCCCTTCCCCTGTAATCAGATTGGTGAATACCCTAATTGTCATCAGAGAGCCTTCATCCAGTAACTGATGGAAGCAGATGCAGAGACCCACAGCCAGGCACCAGGCTGAGCTCCAGGAGTCCAGTCAAAGAGAGAAGAGGGATTCTATGAGCATGGGGGGTCAAGATCATGATGGGGGAACCCACAAAGACAGCTGACCTGAGCTAGTGGGAACTCACAGGCTCTGGACCCACAGTTAGGAAGCCTGCATGAGACCGACCTAGACCCTCCACATGTGGGTGACAGTTGTGTAGCTTGGTCTGTTTGTGGGGCCCCAGCAGTGAGGTCAGGACTTGTGCCTGGAGCATGAGCTGGCTTTTTGGAAACTATTCTTCATGCTGGGATGCCTCGCCCAGCCTTGAAGCAGGGGGAGGAGTTCGGTCCTCCCTCAACTTGATGTGCCATGTTTTGTTGACTCTTTCTTCCCCTTTCTGAATGGTGCTAGACAGAAGATGGGAGGAGAGAACGGGAGAGGTTGGAGGAGAAACTGTGGCTGGTATGTAAAATAAATGAAAAAAATCCTCATATTATTTCTGTACTTCTGTTTTCATTTATAAAATAGGCAGGCCTACAAACCATGAATGACTTCAGGGTCCCATTTTTTCCATGTTATCAAGTCCCCCAGATAACTTTAACTAATCAATTCTGCTCTTTCTGGCTAATCAATTATATTACATCATTGATCCAGCAGGTACTTTAAAAACAAAATAAAAAACCCTCCTCTTTGCTCTGTGAAATAGGTTCTTGCAGACTGGAAGATTATCAATTCCTATCAATCAATAATGACCTTTCCTTATGGAACAATACCACTTTCCAAAGTCCTGTTAGCCAGACCCTAGAGGTTAGGACAGTGGTATTGTTTACAGAAGGCTTGAGAGGAAGCTTTCACAAAGGGAACTGCTAAGACATTCACACCAGAAAGAAGCAAACTGGAGAGACAAGGTCTACCTATTCACTTGCCTCGGTCTGGGGAATAAGATATTGCCACGGTGGATGAAGACAGGCGTTTACTCATAGGAGGCTCCGTCTGCTTTGGCAAATTCATGGTTGATGTTGAAAGTTTGTCACATGCTGCAGAGAAATGCATTAAAGACATTGATTTTCATATCACTGTAGCCTGTGAAATCAAATCTCAAAAGTGTCCTTCCTGTCCTCATCCACACACATCCAGTGGTGCTCCACTGCAGCACGGCACATGGCTTCCATTATCTTAATCTGGAAATGTCCAGGCTACAGCAACCACTGGTTTGCAATTTTTTCACTGTGCTCTTCTCTTTAATTTAAATGTTCAAACTCACTCAGATACTGAATGATACTAATACTAAAACGATACTAATTCCACCTAGTGTTTTCTTGTGTCCAAAGACTTTTAAATATATCTGCACCAAACAAAAACAAAACTAACCTAGACTCAGGGACAACTGTTCCTAGAAATATCTAGCACCTTGACTAAAAGCCTCTGTGCTGGAACAAAACTGTTCCTGAAGGTTATTTGAGGCTCAGGTTGGAAAAAGAATGTAATTTGTAATGCAAGGAGTTGTGTTTAAAGTAGCACTAACTCCGGCAGTTGCTGATTGTCCTAGTTGTAAGAGACAACATCAAACTGGCTCTTCTGCAAATGCTTTAACAGTAGAGTAAGGCTTTAAACATCTGACCCTAGATTTGGTGTTCTCATGTTCCAGTCATTGTTTCAGACTGGCTTCTAAATGAGATCATTACAACCAACAGAAAAGTAGTGACAGTGCCTGTGAAGCTATGTCCGAACCCAAGGCCAAAGTAAAACTATGCATGTGTTGCCGTTGAGGAAGCTAACCCCTACGATGTTCAAAATTTGACTTATTTTCAAATGAGAGAATTCCTTGTACACGGCTGACCAAGGGGCAATTTCTGCTGACCAAGGGGCAATCTTAAATCATTTTAATTAAGCTAAAATCAAAATATATCATATTTTAATTGAGGATACATAAAATGCTTATTCTTGAAATGATGTTTTACATTTCAACACTCTCACTCTTTATATTTTAATTACTTTAACTTTCTGGAAAAATAAGCAAACACTAGAAATTATAAACCATGTATATAACTGTACACTTTTCCTCCTTTGCCTCAGGCTCTGATATGGCTTGGCACAGCACTAGTATCTAGAAATTCATATTTGGGTCAGGGATGTTGCTCAGTGGTGGAGTGTTTGCTTAGCATAGGTAACACCATGGGTTCCCTGGGGAAGCAGGGGAGGAGGAGAGAGGAAAAGTGGGAGGCAATTTGTTATTTTGTTTAACATAGATTGTTCTGTGGTTTAATTTTTTAAAATATAGCATTAAAATATTATCTCATCTTGATATTTTTGCCATTCCCATAAACTGTATGTCTGAGTCACTCACCTCACCTTGTTACTAACCTTAGGTAATAATACTCTATTCTCACCTTTCCATGCGGGAAGACCAAATCTCAACCCATAAAGCAAAATCTGTGATACTTAGAACTACCAATAAAGATATTCTGTGTCAGAGGAAAGCCAAAAATCAAAGATATTTATTCCTACAATTAATATGACTCTCTATATTGCTGGTTAATATGACATCCCTTCTATTTCTCATTTTCAGTTTATCATCCAAATATATAGTAATTCTAAAGTCATGACTAAATGCAAACTAAGTTTTGCTCTTAATCAACACATAAGAATTTTCCATGTTTGCATGTGAAAGAGAGCCTTTTAGACAGCGAGATGGAGTTAGGCACAAAGCCAAGTTGTCTAATTATGTGGATTCTCCATGTTAATACTGATAAATTTCCTACCACTAGCTCTCAAACACTTTTCCAGAAATCCATCACATTAACCAAGTCCAAGTATTCTATTTAGAAATCTGTGTGATTTCTGGGTTTTCACCAGAAGCAATGAAATGTCTTGCTACTTGATACCTAAAACCAGATGACCAATGAGACTGTTAAAAGTCTAAATGTACAAAAGTCAAATACTGATGAGATTTTTTTAAGGCAGAAGTTAATGAGCTGAGGATGAAATGTCTCCAGGACACTAAGATACAAGGCATGCAGCTCTAAGAACAAAAACATATGGGCATGTCGTTCACAGCTCTAGAGAAAAAGTCATGACAGGTCAGACTAAGAACTCAATTGTGAAAGTACTTGAGACAGACACAGTGATGGAGGAGGGTGATCAGAATGGTTATCACAAAACACTATGGTATGGTGATGCTCGGGTATACCGTTGGTGGACTCGGCAGCAGCTGTAGTGGTCCCTGTGTCCGAAGGGAGGGTGCTGGCTGCTAAAGTTAGAGGAAGGGGTGGGGTATTTTCTGATTCACCTACACAGAAAAAAATCAGAGCAAAGAGAGGTAAAAGAAAAAGTTCCAATTTGTTGTTGCACTTTAGTTTCTAATAAAGAAATTAGAAAAGTAACAAATTAGTTATTGCCTTCTCAAAAGAAAAAAGAAAAGGTGTATTCACTGTCAAATGATTAAAAGAACAAGATGGCAGAGTCAAGAGATGGTAACTTAAACATCTGCTCTCAGAAAGAGCTAGTATACAACTCCTGCATAACAGAATACTGAGATCACTGAGACATACTATGACACTGAAAAGAGGAAACGGTCATCCTGATATTAGTAATAATCCATACATCTAGGCATTTGAAAATTTAAAGATAATTATGAATTGGATAATGATGTAAATAAGTTGCTTTAAAATGAAATCAAAAGAGCAACAAAAAATCATAATGAAGAAGGAAAATGCCCAGCCCTTCTTAGAGAGTAACTGCTGTGCCTTTTCCAGTCACATCTAGAGCTGTGACTGTGTCTCCTGCCATTTCCCTCTCCTGAAATGAGATTAGTTTTGGACCTGCGTGCTTAGTGCAGCTACCATGCTCTGCATTTGTTTTCTTTGCTTTTCTTTTGCTCTTTCCTAAAGTCCAGTATTCATGCTTCAACTATCTGATAGCAGGAAGAATAGCAGCTCCCTTTATGAGAAACGCATATACACACAGGAAGCGTGGCAATTTAAGCATCTGAAAAGGTGCCTGTAGAGCTGTACACAACATCTTTCAATCCTGCGGACATCCAGTTATGCTCATGATCTCCCCACAGAGGCCCTGCAATGCAGAGATAGCATTAGACTCACCATCACGTCCTGCAGGCCCTGAGGCTGATGATCCTGCCCAGGAACACTTCTTCTTCAGCTCTAACTGCTGTGTGCGCTCCAGGGACCGGCGCATCATTGCTTCCAGGCGTTCCTGCCCAAATCCCCCAAAGCAAAAAGCATAGACTATTAACAGAAAACAGTATCAATCACTCAGCTGTACTGCACTGACGCCTCAGTGCTCTGGACGAATCACGAAATGGGGCTTTCTGTACTCAGCATCCCAAACCCAGGCATGTGTGCTCTCTTCACCACACCAGTGCCTTTTGGTGAGTGGAGAGTAAACAATACAGCTAGGCTAGTGCTGACTTCTCCAGCCACAGACAGTGAACACTGTCCTGTCCTGTCTCCTCCCTTCTCCTCCCTGGGGAGAGGCTGTTGCTATGCCAGCTCTTGATTTGCTTATGAATAATGCTCAATAAGCATTAACTCTTTCAAGCCTGTCTCAAATTTGGTTAAGAGAACTGAAATTTGGTCCCAGTACCAAATGTAAGTCTTTCTAATTGAAAACATGAAAAAAAATAAATTGAAGTATAATTTGAATTTTCAGCCTTTTGAAAGACTTGACTTTGAAACATATTTTATAAAGCCCCATTTTCATCTTTGAGCTTCTTTTCTACATTGTAATACTTGTCTGCTCATATCTTACGGTAATACTGCATAGTCCAAGATTTGACAAGGGTACAGAAATTCTGGCTACAAAATAAAACACCCAATGCCTTGACACAGTTAGGTGTGTGTGTGTAGGTGGGGTGGTGGCAAAAACTAAGTAATTTTTAACTAGAAAATAAAAACAGTTGCCAGGCTACTCTCTTAAAGGAGGATTTATCAGATTACCCATATTAACCAAAGTGTTACTTTCATAAAGTTGTTCTTGACAGTGAAGCAAAGATGTTCTAATTCTGCACCCCCCACCTACCTCAATGCAAATACCAGCTCCTCTCCTTCCCTCTACTGGAGAAGCCTGAGGTAAGGCTGGTCATTACACTGCAGTGCTCTGGGACTAGACTAACCCTCTATTGGTCCAAATATGTAGCTGGGATTTTTGTGGCTTAATAAAAACAAGTAAGAAAAATTAATTTAGGATAGCAAAAGCTGAGTAATCATGACTTAAGCATCAGTGTTCTAGTATGGGGTCAGGCTCTCTCCAACCATGAGTGTGCATTTCTTGGATGTCCTATCCTGATGATCTTGGCCATGAAGTTCTGATGACGAACACTGGTGGTTTTCCAGATAAAAGTTGCAACTTGGAGGGAACAGAGCTATACCACCAAATGAGCGAAATATGGCTACCAGAGACTGAGACAAAATACTGTTTCATTATATTAAATTAACAATAAGTATTTAACTAGCAACCTAATTTGTTTTAAAAACTTCACCCTAGAATAAATTTAGTTCAGGATGAGTTTTGGTACATTTTCCACATGTCAGAAGAACCTCATAAGACAGCCACTAATCTACTAAGGGACACAGTCAGAACAAAGACCACTGAAGCCAGCCTTGTTACTGAGCAGCTATCTAAGAGGCAGAATTATAAAGGACTGCTTGCTCTCCTAAAGCCAGACATGCCCCTGGAAAACTTAGGCCAAAAAAAAGCTTTAGAAAATCTATTCATGCTAACCATCCTCAATTTTTTGAGCTGCTCCAGATTACAACACTGGAATCTTGTTCTTTTGAACTTTGAGTAGATTTGTGACCCACTTTTTAGCCCTCTAACCATTTTACATTTCTGGGCTTCAATTTCCTCACCTATAAAACGAAGATGATATTACTTACATCACCATGTCATACAAGATTAATGGCTAGAACTAGTACCTGAGGTGGTTAAGTCTTTAATCAGTGTTAAATGAATCTGAATTTGAAAGAAGATTAATAAGATAGTTTAGAACAGTGGCTTTCAAACTTCAGTGTGGATGCATCAGAACCCCACAAAGGATTTGGGATTTACTCCTAGGTTTTCTCAGTAATCTGAGGATAGTGCCTTACATTTATTTTTGGCAGTACTGAGGATTAGAACTCAAGGCCTTGTACATGTTAAGTAACCACTGAATTACACCTAGCCCGAGAATTTACATTTATAACTACTTTTCAGGTGCTGCTACTAGTAGGACCACACTGTTGGAACAACTGTTTACAGACAAAAAGTTGAGCATGAGAAAGCAAGGGAAATAAAGTTTAGTAACACTAGAAAAACAGTGTTCAAAATACTAGAACCGAATAGTGCCTACTAAGCTGTGGTTCTCCTGAATATCACTGGTAACCAACAGAGGTTGGGGAAAGGCAGGGCATATTCTTTCTTGTCCCTTCCGTATGTTCTACCATGTGGGCTTATAAGAAGGAAGGATGGGAAGAAGGGAATCTAAACCCTTGATCTCTTTAGTTCAGGATGACTCTACATCTGATTAGATGACTAGACCAATCTGGAAAACTGACCAACAGTGACCAATGAGATGGCCAACCTGAATTAAAAACCCAGTAGAGCATTTGGGAAAACTGGATATTCACACATAGAAGAATGAAACTAGATCCTAGTTTTCACTCTGCACAAAATGTTAAAAATAGATCGAAGATCTCAACTTAAGATGCAAAACTAGCCGGGCGGTGGTGGCGCATGCCTTTAATCCCAGCACTCGGGAGGCAGAGCCAGGCGGATCTCTGTGAGTTCGAGGCCAGCCTGGGCTACCAAGTGAGTTCCAGGACAGGCGCAAAGCTACACAGAGAAACCCTGTCTCGAAAAACCAAAAAAAAAAAAAAAAAGATGCAAAACTAAAACTTCTAGAGGAAAACCTAATGAAAAATATGTCAAGATTTGATATAGGCAAGGATTTTCCAGAAAGGACTCCAATAGCTCACTAAATAATCTCAAGATATGATAAATGATATCTTATCAACTGAAAACTTTCTTCACAGCAAAGGAAACAATTATCAGAGTGAAGAGACAGCCTACAAAATGGGAGAGAATCTTCACAAACTATACAACTGACAGGGGATTAATATCAAGAACGTATAAAGAACTACTAAAATTAAACATCCCTTCACCCCAATTATCCAATTAATTAATGGGCAAATGAATTAAACAGATGATTCTCAAAAGGAAGAACTAGAAATGGCCAATAAATATTTGTAAAATATTCAATATCCCTAGCCATTAAGGAAATGCCAATTAAAGCTTCATTGTAATTCTATCATACCATAAGAGGATTGGCTATCATTAAGAAAACAAATTACAACAAATGCTGGCAAGGATGTTGGGGAAAGGACCCCCTTTCATACTGTTACCAGAAATGAAAATGGGTATAGCCACTATGGAAGTTAAAATGAAGATTCCTCAAAATAAAGAAAACTACATCAAGCATATGAATGGTCCAGTTTTGTCAGTAGTGTGCACATACCTGGAGGACTCTAGTTAGCATAACACAAGGATACTTGCACATCCATGTTTACAGCTACAGTATTTACAATAGCCAAGATAGGCAACCACCCTAGATACCTATTAATAGATGAATAGATCAAGATAATATGGGAGAAAGGGACTAGAGCAAGAAAGTGCCATAATGCATCTGGAGAGATGGCTCAGTGTTTTAGAGTGTGCACTGCTTTGCGGAAGATCCATGTTTGGTTCCCAGTACCCACGTCAGGTAGTTCACAACTGCCTATAACTCCAGCTCCAGGAGAATCTGAAGCCCTTTTCTGGCCTCCACAGGTCAGATGCATGTACCACTCCCATCATACACATAAATAAAAAATCAAAATAAATTATTTTTATAAAGAAGTGCCAGCTGGGCCCATGCCTTTAATCCCAGCACTTGGGAGGCAGAGGCAGGTGGATGTCTATGAGTTCGAGGCCAGCCTGGGCTACCAAGTGAGTTCCAGGAAAGGTGCAAAGCTACACAGAGAAACCCTGTCTCGAAAAACCACACAAAAAAGTACCATAATTTATATACCAACTTAAAACTTAAAGGCAAGTGATTCGAGAAGAAAATGTGCTATTTATATACAATGCACTTTTTAAAGATTTATTTTTATTTCATGTGTTTAAGTATTTTGCCTGAAGGTACATAAGAAGCACTGTGTGTGTTCCTGGTGCTCATGGAGTAATGAAAAGGGAGCCAGATTCTCTTGATGGTTGACAACCACCATACGGGTGCTAGGAATCTAATCTGAGTCCTCTTCAAGAACAGCAAGAGCTCTTAACCACTGAGTAATCTCTCCAGCCCCCACAATGAAGTTTTATTTAGTCATGATGAAGAATGAAATTATGTCACTTGTAGTAAAATTGCTAGAACTAAAGATCATGATAAGCAAAACAAGCCAGACTCAGAGACACAAAATATGTTTTTTCTCATACATGTAAACTAGATTTAAATATAAATGCATATATACATAAATATACATGACATAAAAGTAGAAGGGGGACTGAGGGGAAAGAAGAGTTATAAAAAGAGATGGGGTAACAAGAAAGGATAATTTGGGAAAATAAATACAAAATATCACACTTTTTTTCAGATGTGGAATTTGTATTAAACCATACAACATACATATATGCAACATGAAACTAGAATAGGGTCTATTGGGGGAAGGAGGAGTAGGGAAAGGTAGCAGGGAAATAAATATGACCAAGACACAATAATAAATATATATATATATATATATATGTATAAATATAGCGTAAAAATAAAACCCATATGTTCCATGTTAATTAAAACTAGAATTAGTATTTTAAAAAAGTAAGTCAGGAAAAGTCCTCTAGCACAGAATGATCTAGACACTGCTGCCTGGGGCTCAGGGGAGGGAGGGGGAGGAGAGGAGGGAACAGAGGAGAGAGGGGAGAGAAACAGAGAGCAAGCTATACCTTTCCTACTACTTTTACTGTATGTGTTCATGGATGACACTGTAAAGACAATCCCCCAGTGGTCCACAACAGGCTTCACAGGAGGTCTCCTCTCTACAAACAGATTTCTATATCCAGTCCCGTGGTCAGCCAAGTCCCTCTAAGAGTGGCCAGACTTCAGCTGAGTCAAGTTTTTGTTTAGGTAAATTAATATGCTTCTTGTTTTATACCCAGGTTTTTTTTATTAGCTACTAAGCAATGAC